TCTTCATAAACTGTGTAACGTTGTCCATCTGAAAGATACAATTTTGGAGGTTAAAGGCTTGTTTGCAGTATAAACTGGGCCCTTTCCTCAGTTCCCAATTTAGCTTCAACAAAATTACTGAAAATTTACTATTAACCTGGGGTCTAATTTCCTTTATTCTTTCTTCACTCCTCCCCATTACTACAGCCAGTTATGTTCTTCGTGGGAATTCTGAAATTAGTGGGTATGTCTACACATGCACTTTAATGTGGAATAGCTTATTTTACTGTGCATGAGAACATCATGTAAAAAAATGTGCTAATACACAGTAAAAAAAAAAAAAAAACTTCCTTGGCTAAATAGGAAAACCCAGGGAAGTCTAAGGGCAAAAAAAAGAAGCATATAGACAGTGGAAGCAGGGGGAAGCTACCAAGGAGGAGTATACCAACTTGGCCAGCACTTGCAGGGAGGCAGTTAGAAAGGCCAAAGCAACTACGGAGCTGAGGCTGGCAACACAAATCAAAGACAACAAAAAGTCTTTTTTTAGGTATGTAGGGAGTAAAAGGAAGGCACAGGGCAGCATAGGACTGACAGCAATTGCTGCAGCCAATCGTGGCAGCCACTTCTGGGAGCGGCTGCAGCAATTGGCCAGTGCTTGCAGGGGAGGCACCAGCGATCCCGCCTGCCCCCCCTTCCCATTGCCTAAGCGGCCAGCACAGCCAGTCAGGGGGTGCACAGGCACCCCCAGGCACCCCACATGCATCACCACTGTTCCCCTCTATGTGGCATTTGTCAGATTGCAGTTGGAGTAATGTGTCCAGTTTTGGGCGACATACTTTAAGAAGGATGTGGACAACCTCAAGAGGGTCCAGAGGAGGCCACTTGTATGGTTAAGGGTTTGCAGGCCAAGCCCTATGAGGAGAGACTAAGGGACCTGGACCTCTTCAGCCTCCGCAAGATAAGGCTGAGAGGCGATTTTGGGGCCACCTACAAATTCATTAGGGGGGTGCAGCAAGGAATCGGAGAGGCTCTGTTCACCAGGGTACTTCCTGGGGTAACAAGAAACAATGGTCACAAACTGACACAGAGCAGATTTATGCTAGGCATCAGGAAGAACTTCTTTACAGTGAGGGTCACCAGAATCTGGAATGGGCTTCCAAGGGAGGTGGTGCTCTCCCCTACCTTGGGGGTCTTTAAGAGAAGGCTGGATAGGCATCTGGCTGGGGTCATCTGACCCCAGCACTCTTTCCTGCCCAGGCAAGGGGTCAGACTCCATGATCTGTTGAAGTCTAGCATCTATAAATCTATAAAATCAGACTACTGCACACCAAGCATCACTAAAAAAGTATGTGCCTTCACTACTGAGCATTAAGACAGCCTAACGCACATTTAGTTAGTACCTCACATTAGAGATACTAAATGTAATGCACTGTAGCAAAACCACGTTAATAAATGTGTGGACACACCCAGTGGGCAAGACAGAGATCCAATATTCCTTGTGTACTTAAAACAGCCATTGGGAGTTATCTATAAGCAAGGAATGCAGGGTTGTGTAGCAAAAGAACCAAAGGTGACAAGAATAGTCTACAGTATGTAATATTTAGCCAGAACAAGCTATCAAGTTGTTTGGAGAACGCACGGTATTTTTATCAAATAGATAAGCACTAAGCTTACACTACATCTTCAGATTTCAAAGCAAGTTCTAGTTCACGCTGGTGACGCCCGAAGATTTAACACTGGCATTAGGATAATCACTGCTAAGGACAGTCACATGATGATCAATACCCTTACAGTGGACAGTTGTTTGTCCCCCCACCACTACCTTTATAGTAGATTTACTCCACACAACTTTGCCAGGTAAAACAGTGGCACCCACTTGACTGTCCCTTGGGTGCTGCTGCAATTAGCTTTGCATATTCAGGGATTCCCTGGATTCCAGAGTACACAAAATTAAATGCAAATTTGTTTGTATCTGTTATGGATTCCCTGGGGAAACACTTGCGTAGGAACCCCAACCTTACAATTTCTTGGAGGATCCCTTAAAGCCAGCCCAGATGTAGCTTCTAGAGAGGGTGAACCCTTGGTTCCTTGGACTCTCAGTCCTGGTCTTCTGGTACCTGACCACCTCATTATCCATAGCCCTCTGAGAGAGCTACCTTCTGACTTAACGCCTGGAAGGAAACTGCACAGGGAGCAGACTGCACCCCAAGTTCCATGTACTGAAGCAGGCAGCTCTTCTTAAACAAAAGCAGCACTTATTATTTCCTAGTAATACAGCAGGTGCATTCCTTTGGCCCCAAAGCCCAAGCTAACTCTGAGGCAAGTCTCTGTCACATAAGAGCCTTGGCTGTTCTCTCCAATCTCTCAGGGTCTTTTCCCTCTACCTGTCTCTTTCCCCACTTTTGTCTCTGGGAGTCTCCCTCTTCAAGAGCCTGTCTTAGCATTGTGCTTCTCTGAAGTGTCTCCCTGGCACCAGGGAGTTTTCTGAAGTCCATTTGTTGGGTCAGTACAGGAAAAGTAGTTCATTGTTGCTTGATGGCCCAATTCTCTCCTAAAAGGGCAGTTAGATCTCCAGAGCTACACTTCCAAACACAACCTACCCCTTCTTTCCTCCAGTAGTCTTCTTCTTTGCCAAAGTAAATCATAAAAACTGTGGCATGTAACATTATTATAACATGAACACATTCAAAGCAGAAATATGACAAGAAAACCTTAGTTTATCACAGAATCCATTAAGGACTCTCAGCGTTTGGACCCCACAACAGGCTCCTAACTGGAGCTCTGGTCAAAGAAGGGAGGGAGGGGTCAAAGGACACCCTTCTCCAAATCCTCACATTTTGCTCAGCAAACAAAAGAAAACTTGTGCCAGGTCCATTTCTTTCCTCTCTGCTTTCAACTTTGTTTTTCATTAACACGCAAAATCCATGGCAACAAACAACTTGTTTCAGCCAACATGACAAATGATATTGGAGTTAAAAAAAACAAACAAACAAAGAGGAATGTCCCAAGTAAAAGTGTATGCATCACATTACAGATCCATGGGGAAATAACAATTTATAATCTGGGAGGAGTGAGGAGATGGAGGCCAGAGCAGACTGTGGTCACCCCCCCTGGACAGCTTGGAGAAATAAAGGCTGTTTGCTTTTCAGTATAGCTCTCCATACTGTACTGAGTAGAATAGCAAGCTGCCATAGAAAGGCACACATCTAACTCAAAATTTGACCAAGACTTGATATTAGTATTAAAAGATCATTTGAATATTAAGCCAAATTCATGTTAGTTTCCCAAAGCTATGCCTTACAAGGACTTTAAGCATACATCAATTTCAGTGAATGCTTCCTTGACAGAAAGCTTCCTAAAAGGTCTCTGCATGTGCTGCTATGGATTGGTGTCACCAACATCACTCATCTCAGATGCTGTTTTTCCTTTTAATAAAACAGAGCATTGAATATTCTACAAAGGGTGGTGGGGGAAGCATTCTCAAAGCATCCTTCTCCCTTCATCCCTCCATCTCCAACACAAGTCACTGTCTTGAGGGCAGTGACTCCACACACCAATTAACCCTGACAGAAAAGTCAGCTTTCCCCACACTCAGCTATCCTAAGCTGATGCCTGCAACCCCAGCCATGCATATGGTCAAAGCTGTGGCTCAGCTCACACACCATCATGCCACATTCAGCCCTCTGCACGGAGATATACATTTGACAGATTTCCCTTCTGGTTTTTCCCTAGCCCACTGTGCATCTCTAGCCAGGCTCTGCACTGCTTTTCTGAGCAGTCCCAGATGGTTTATGCCAAGTACAGTATTTAGCTCCATGAAAGGCAAAGGGAAAAAATAAGGAAGACACTGTTTGGAGAGGAACTAGTACTCAGGGGCAAACACACACACGCAGAGAATAGTCATGGAAACTGAGGCAAGTAACACTCCTATAAGATAAACATATTCAAATCAAAAATATCACAACAAAACCTTAATCTATCACACCTATTAAGGCTCCTAACTGGAGCTCTGGTCAGAGGGAGAGAGAGGGAGGGATCAGAAAACACCCTTTTCCAAAAGTCTTATCTTTTGCTCAGCAAACAGAAAAAGACTTGTTCCAGTTATTCTCTCTCTTGCCATATGTAGAGGGAGAAGAGATGGAACTACCCCAAGTCTTCATCTCTTTTCTCTTTCTAGAGAGAGAGAGAAGGTTTCTGAGAAGGTTTTTCCCCCTTGTTTTATTAATAAAATTATACAGAGAGAGATGGAACTGGCACAAGTCTTCATTTCTTCTCTATCTACGTACATACATGTAGACACACACACACATATATACATGCATACATATACATAGAGAAAAGAGCCCCCTCCGTTTCTTTCATATCCAATATTCTATTTTATTAAAAGAATAGACAGATACATAGATAGATAGATAGATACATAGATACATAGATAGATAAAATATAGAGAGAGAGAGAATATAGAGATAGAAGAGAGAGAAGACATACACATGTGTGTGTATAGATAAAGAAGAAATGGAACTGGCACAAGTTTTCATCTCTTCTCACTCTGCATATTATTTATTTACACACACACACACACGTTTAGAAGGGTCTTTCCTCCCTGTTCGCTGAATAGTCAATACTCCTTTTTTATTACAATCATATAGGTATAGGGAGAGAGAATCTATATACAGAGATACATATATATGTCATATATAAGTGTCGTGTGTGCGCACGCAGAGGGAGAGGAGCGAGAACTGGCACAAGTATATATGTATCTATACAGAATATGCGCACACGCCTGTATAATCCCATCTGCACTCTGCCCATACCCCGTGCGGGCACCCACACGCCAGCACGGAGGCTGCCAGGAACACTGTGCCTCAGAGCTATGCACATGCGACAGCAAAGACCAGTGCAAAGTCCCATCCCCGTCCCTCCCCCTCTCTCTCCGCCCCGGGGTCCCCCCGCTTCCCGCTTGGCCCCAGCGCTCCCCCGCGGGCGGGCGGCCTCCTCCTCTCTGCCGCCCGGCTGCTCACCTGAGATGCCGGCCCCCAGCACCACCACGTCGCACTTCACGCCCATGGCTCCGGCTCCGTCTGCCCGCTCCACTCCGCCGCGCCCTGCCCTGCCGGGCTC